ATATCAAAATGATGGCAAGAATGAGCTGAACAAGTTTGTTCTATGTAACAACTATGATTTACTTAATAAACTTTTGAATTTTTGCAGAAAGAAGAAAATTACAAAATTTAGTTATATCCCAGTAATAAAAACCTTTGGGGATATAAAACTGGACCGCCTATATGTAAAATTCTGTTAGGAACAATTTTACTTAGGCAGCCAAAGTAGGTTTACTTAATAAAAAATTGAAAAAAAAGTAATTATGTTTAGAGAAAATTTGGTACAAGTGATCGTCGGGAAGAGTTAATGATTTGCGTTTTTTTAAGAAAATAAATTATGATTATTAGCTATAAATAATTATTTTAAAAAAAGAATTTTAATATTTTTAAAACTTAGAGTTGATAAGTTGTTAGAAAATATAATAAAGTTATAAATATTGTTTATTTAGTTAGTTTGTTTGTAGATTTTTAATTAATTTACAAAATTACTAGTTATTATTAGTAGTAACCAGTATTACTGTAATATATAAATAAAGTATAAATTCAAGTAGCTTCTATATATATATGATTATATAAGATAATCTAAAACTGCATTTTTTACATTATTGCCAAGATTACTTTAGAGATATTGATTACAACTAGCTTTAGTCTTTTGATATATTTTAACATATATATCTAATTTGCTGTTAACTATTAATTGACTATGTTTTAGAATCATTAACTTATATATGTGCTTGCAAATGACAATTAATAAAAATTTATTTTTTACAAGTTCTAAATTCAAAATACATGTATAAATTATTTTGTTACTATTATTAGAAACTTTTTTTGAATTACTAATTTATATATAACAACATTTTTACATATAAATAAGAAAAAGCAAGTTATCATTAAAGAAGGTTTTGAATTTAATGAGATTTTACTTAGTTTCAAAAATTGTGAAACTAACAATGCTTTTTTTTGTGCTAGAAGCTTTAAGTTTAATAATATTGTTTCTGGTTCAAGTTTTGAAGGTTTAAGGTTGCAATGCTTTACTGTTAGTAGTTTCTGGTATCTTAATTCTGGACCTGGGTTGTCTAGCTATGTCTTTAAGAAATTTCTTAGTTCTGCCACTGATGGTTTTTGGTTTCCTAATTCTGGTTCCAAGTTTCATAATTATGTTTCTAAAAAATTTCTTGGTTCTGCTACTGGTGGCTTTGGGTTTTCTTGTTTTGGTCCTAAATTTTTTAGTTATGTTTTTACAAGATTTTTTGGTTTTGCCACTGATAGTTTTTGGTTTTCTAGTTCTGGTCTCAGTATGTCTAATTATGTATTTAAAAAATTGCCTAATTCTATAAATTTTGGGTCTAATAATATTGTGATTAACTTTGTGCATTTAGGGTTGCCTAGTTTCACAGATTCTAAGCTTAAGGACTTTTCAGATAATTTTGTATATTTAGAATTGCCTAGTTCAGATTTTAGGCTTAATGATACTTTGGTTGATTTTGTACATTTGGAATTGCCTAGTTTGAATTTTTGCCTAATGATACTTTGACTGATTTTATTAATTTAGAATTATCTAATATGAATTCTGAATTTATTTTTACTTCATATAGTTCTGAAAGTTTTAAGTCAGATAAACTTTCATTTAGAACAATTAATAATCAAGACAATCATATAATTAATCATAGCTCAACAAAGGTAATACTAAAGATTAGAGACTTTTTTAATGATTGGAATGCTATACAATATGCAGTAGATGCATATTTATAAAAACATGATTTTGTAGCTATTAAGTATCATAAGGATCTTGATGCAGTAGACAAATTTATTATTTAGCATTATGATTATGTTTGTTAAAAATCTAATATAAATTATGCAAAAAAAGGGGAAAAACATGAATATACATTATAATAGTGTTTTTATTAAAATAAATTGCCTATGGTTGATTCATTTTTATCTTAGAAAATGTTTAAATAATATAAATATCACCAGTATAACAAATAAATACAACTATCTATGTGATTTTAAAACTATTGAATAATTACCAAAACATTTATAGTTTTCTTAATCAATGTTAGATAAAATTAGAGATTATATTATTGTTGGTCAGTTAAGTGCTAAACAATAGTATAATCTTTTTACAAAGAAATTTTCTAAACAATATATTAAAAAAAAAACTTTATACAACTGCTATTAGCAAATTTAGAGGTGTAAGAATTTATTACCAATTTGATGCAGCTGTAATATTGTCTTATCTTCTAAATTAGAAAGATCAAAACCATAATTATATAGTCATTTCATATATAGAAGGTAGATCAAATAAATTAATAGATATTTTTTTAATGAATAATAAGCAATATAATAAACTCTGGTTGAAATATTATAATATTGTCATACATAACAACATAGCAAAAACAAACAAATATGAAATAGCTCTTAGCTTATTCATTAGAATTAACAATAATTTTAAATTAAGAGTTCTTGCACAAACTCTTATAAAATATAAAATGCAAACTGATTATAAGTAGATTCTGTATTGTATATTGAAGACAACTAATAACCTATTACCTACGTATTGTTCATAAATAGAGGTCTAGCTATAAGTACTACTATTCATATTATATATCTACAAACAAGACATTTATTATATATTTACTACATTGGTAAAAATATAAAAAAAAAAGCAAAGTCAAACTTCATAGTAATATGGTTAATAATTTTATTAGTAAATTTTATTATATAAGAAACAGTAATACTAAAAAAACATTTAAAGCAAATTATAATAATATGTTAATAAAATATAAGCTTTGTTACTCTTATTTTGAAAATAAGCTTTTCTTCTGTTATGAGTTCTTGGCAAAATATACTATTTCAAAAATATTTACAACTAGTGTTAAATCAACATAGCATGTTGAATCTATAAATAGTATGCTCAAAAAGCAGTTTGATTGAAGTACTCTCTTAAAAGAGCTTGTGAAAACACTTAAACAAGAATTAGAAAAAGAGTTACATTATACTTGTATCAGAAATTACTATAGATTCAATCCATCATCTGGTCTTTTCTCAATCTATAAAACTATTTTTAAAGATATTGATTCAGTATTAATGGATCACTTAACACCTATACTATTATCACTACAGTAAGCTCAAATAAGCTCTGTTATATCAAAAGATGTTGATTACAAACAAACAAGTAAGCACAAAACAATTTTTATTTTACTTAATGTATACTAATTAATTCTAAATTTATAAATAAGATTAAGAAACATGATATTGAAGCTAGTAGTACAATTGAACATCTATATGATGTGCTGCAAATTTGATTACAAGAGCTTCTATTAGGTGTTTCAAATGATGGAGTACAAAAAACTTGGAAACTTTTTTATATCACAATTAATTTAATATTTAAATTGCATTACATTGTAATTCTTAAAAATTTAACTTTACTCTATATATATATGCAAATAGTAAACTTAGAAATGCCATGTTATTACCAGTACTAAGTTTTAATTTAATCTTCTAAAGCAGTTTTTTATTTGGAACTTATTCATACATAATGGTTCAATTCAATTCCTATTGAAATAGATAAGCATTTGTGATAGCTTAAGAAACAAAAAACTTTGCATTTATATGATTATACCATATTGATCAAATTTATTCTGCTAATGTATATATATCAAGTATGAAGAATAATATTAATAAAAAGCATCAATTTGGTACTACTATGTCAATAGCTAAGACTAGTGTTCAAATTGCACTAGCTGAAGGTATTACAACAGAATTAATTAGAGTTTTAACATAATTTATAACAAAATATTATCATAATTCTGGTTTGAATATAGAAGAAGCTTATTCTATACAAAATAAAAACTCTAATATTGATAATATATTAAATAATCAATTACCTTTAGTTAAACTAAATTTTAATTCTAATTACAACCTTATTAAAGTTTCTAATCCTAAATCTCACAAGCCAAAAGGCTATTTTTTCAAAGTAATTAAGGTTATTTATTAAAGAAAATAAAGAAAGTAATAAACAACATATTATTTATGAACAAAGAACATGTAGTTATTGTTTGGTTAAAAGTCATAATATTTGTGAATATGTTTAATATAAGAAAAATTTGGTTAAGAATAACAAATGTTAAAATTACAACTTTGACTCTTGTTATGTCTGCATATATTAGTGATTTACTAAGTTTTGTAATATTGAATATAATTTTAAAAATTGGTATATGCTTATTGTTTTAAAGTTAGAAAATGCATTATTAAAATTGTGTTATTAAAAATTTTTTATTAACAAATCTTACAAAATATTTACAGAAAGACTTTCACATTATAGTGTTGAGTATAATAAATTGTTGGCTATTCAAATATGTAATAGATTATAGCTTAAATTTGCTAAACACTTCTAAATACTATATCAAATTAGCAAATTGATATATAGATACTAATTCTTTTAATAAACTAACTGCATTTAATATTCAAAATATTTGAGAAGAATAATTTATATCTAATCTGATATATATATTATCTAGAAGTTTAAGTAAAACACTAGCATTTTATTAAAAAAAGTATAAATAAACTGCTATAAGCCTAGTTTTATTATTTTATAAAATTTTATTGATTATGTAATCTTATTAAAAATTTTTGTTTGCTATTAGTTAGGGTTAGAGTTAGGGTTAGAAGAGTTTAGAAAGCTATAGTTTGAGTAAAATTTTTACAAAAGTTTTTTCTTAATACACAAAAAGGCTTCATATAAACTACAAATGTTTTTTTATTACACTTTTATTATATTGCATATAATTATTAAATTGAATTAGCTAATGAAATTTTTTAGGCTAATGATTTAATAGCTATTGTAAAACTGGCTATAATAGTTGTAAGTGAAGTAAGCATATAAATTATACAAGATAAATTTTTTATTAACATTCATATTAATATTAATTAGTTAATCAGTATTAGTATATCTTAATTTGATAGTATTATATAATTCTAGTAATAATCATTACTAGCAATAAATAGCAAACTTCATTAATTTAAATGAGTGTTATTAATAGAAATATTATTTTGTATAGATAATAAAGTTGAGATATTATAATAAAGTTAATAGATTTTTTATAATTTATTAAAATTGTATTTTGAGTTAGTAATAGTTTTCATATTTTAAGAAGCCAATTTTTGATCTGATGTATAAAGATTTGATTCAGAATATATTAGTATTGAAGTATTTTTCTATGTTACTTTTGCTAACTTGTAATATGAGTTTGTTACATAAGTCAAAATTAAAAATATAATCCAAATATCAACAAACAATCATTTAAATGATATCTGGCTAATAGCTTGTTAACTGCTATAAGATTAGAAGAATGTAAAAATAAGCTGATATAAGTAAGATAGTAGAAAAATTTGTTACATCTTAGATAATAAACATTAAAAATTATTAAAATATTATCTAAAAAATAATGATATTATAAAAAAGATATAAGGTAATATTTTAATAATATTATATTTATATAATAAAGATTTAATAAATCATAAGAAAATATATTATTGGCTTGTTACTAAAATTTTTTTAGTAATTTCAAATAATATATGAACAATATAAATTATATTATATTAATTATAAAAAAAATACTATATATTAACTATAATATCCAAACTAATAATCTTATAGATAATTGACTAATATATAGTTAAATATATATGATTTAATAATGTAATATAAAGATAATAATTTAAAGATAGTTATATAATTTGTAACATCTTAAATAATATTCTAAACATAATACTAAAATATCATCAAGTAAATAAAAATTTTATTAAAAAATTATTTACTAATATATTAATGATTAGGTAAATTATTAGAAAAAATACTATTGGCTTGCAAATAAATTTTTTTGTTATTTTAAATAATATTTTGTTGATATATTTGATAATTTATTGATTTTTGTATATATAAAATATTTTACTATATCTTAAAGTTTAAATGATAATTTATAGTTTATAATTATTTTTTTTTTTTTAAATGTTAAGGTAAGTACATGTGACTCAAAATTTTACTAATAGTATAAGTTGGCCAGTGCCTATATATGTACAAACACAGAGGCAATTACAGAAAGAGTGTACAACTAGCCACTCATACAACTTTAGTCATTATCTAATTTAAGTAGTCTGCCCAAAGGTTCTACACTAGTTGCTATACCTAGAATTCATCTGTAGATCCTCTATTTAAACACTCTGATCCTGCATCTATTATATTTTATCAGTGACTCTAATAAATCGGTGAAGATATGCCATAGTCACTAAGTCATATTTAACTTTGTACTAAACCTACCAGTGCATTCTGTATTCTATACTTACAGCTCACCTGGTTATGCTTTGGCCTAAACCATCACTTGTAGTCAGGGCTAATCATTAAACCACTTTTACTCTTGTAAAATTCATCCAAAACCCCAGTATCTATCTTTCTGATGTCCTCTTCATTGTCCTCTACTAACTGCTACTCAGAACTAACAGAACTCTCTAAACTTCCAATCCAGATGGCCTAGTATGATATACCTTAGTATCCTTTTCCTTTGGCGATTTCAGCAGCCTAGTTGGTCATATGCTTCTCTATACATCTTGCTATCTGGTTTATCCATCTATCTCTTTAGGGGTGTTTCATGAGCTTTCATCAGTCCGACAGCACTGTTGAAAGTTTTGTGCTATCTCCTTACTCAGAATTTCCAAGTGGGTTTTCGACTCTTCAGTTTCTTTGCTTTCCATAGCTAGTGGTCTTATCATGGGTTTGCACCGAAGTCTTATACAACACCAGTTATTAATATTCCTCTATATGGGTGTAACATTACACTTAGCATAAATGCCCTGGGCTCCTATTCGAGATAGTGCGACAAAGGTTACAGATACACCAATCCAACTGATCAACAGAGACAGTTACTATAACACAGACCATAGTTTATAATTATATTATTTGCTAATATTTAATAATATTAATAAATATTTTCTATTATTATAGTTTTCTAATATTCAATAATATAGATAAATATGCTTATATTGTTTTAATTATTTTTAGATAATATTTTAATTAATTTAATATATTTAATGTAATATTTAATGATATTTATTTATTAATAGTTAAATATTAGCTTATTTGTTAAATATTAGTTTATAATTTTTTGTAAAATTAAAAACAATATTATGTATATTTTTATATATAAAATATCACTTTATTATATAATATTTATTTATTAGATGTTTAAATTTATTTTAGCTAATATTTATATAATATTAACTGATATCTATTTTTATTTAATATAAGTACTTTAGTTACGACAAAACTGAAATATCAGGTTATATGATTTTCAGTTATTCTGATCCAAACATTCAAAATAATCATTACTATAACCAATCAAATTATTTACAGAAATAAAGATCTGAACAATGGCATATCATAAAATAATCAATATTGAGTATGTAAAAGTGAAAACTTAAAACTAATTATAGTAAATCATTAAATTGATTTTCAGGTTTCACTCTTATGCACTTATTTCAAACCAAATTTATTCCTTAAACTGTTTTCCAGGCAAATTTGCCTGGAATTTTAAATTAAATTTAGTATTTTTTAAATAACACAATAAATTA